AAGGTCCGTGCTCAGCACTATTGAAAATCAGATGAATTATTTAGGTGGGTTTAGGAGCCTAATGTTAGATCACCAAGTTTGACAGTGTTGGCTATAATGCTTGCAGATTAAAAACAACAACTATAATTAACCAAACCCTATAACGTAATCTCACGCTTCCATGGAAATAATAATTGTAATGAAGCAAAACATAAAATAAAAAATGACTCAGTGGCTTTCCAATAAGCACCTCTCCACTTGCTAATGTGCATTTTAATCACACCAGACCTCTAGAGTTGGATGTTAATGGGTCTCAAATAAAAGATTAAAAAGTTGTGAATATTTTATAATCTGTTCTCATTTAAAGTGCAACTGGTACATGAAAGGGCTTTTGTGTGTTATTATTCTCATTCTTGGCTTACAAAATCATTGTGATGATAGATCGTTCCGACTGACCAGATTTTGAAGAAAGTAGGGAATATATCTTCCTCTTAATTAAAACAAAATATTCCAAACTGCTCCTATTTACCTTTCAAATTGAACAGATTCTTGGCCATCTGTTGCTGATAACATTGATTTTCATTCCTCTTGGCATCGTACCTGCTAAAGTCAGTTCATATTAATGTCAGAGATGATGCATAAAGAATAAAAAATGTGACCATGTTTCAGCGATTGAGGCTCAGGAGGAAGGAATACAATATTAAACCAGTGGACATCTGAACTCAGCTAAACGTATCAGATTTTGTCCAAGCTTCAGGGACAGTCTTCCCTGTATCTGTCTCTAGAGATTTAGTGGTTGATTCAAGAGGGGTGGGAACACTATGTGCTTTGTGTTGAATGTAAAGATAATATAAAACATTTTTTGTCAATGTTTTATGATCCAGTGATAAGTATGCAAGTATACAATGACTATGGAAAGGTTTGATATGCTGTGATGAACTGCAAAGTGACACATTGATTGATCTGTGAGCCCAGTGGAGAAGTCAGTCGATACCAGTAAAATTCATGAAGTGTTTTTCTGCCAGTTTCACAGACACTCCATTGATGCATACCAGAGAGCTAATGTTATTAGCTAAGTTGTACAGCAACATCTGGCACTTCCATAAATCAATCAGTGACACAATAATGGGGAAGGTACCATTAGCTTTTTGCAGCTGATGACAAGCTAATCATTAGCTTCTCGCTATTCAACACACCCCTTGCAAATATAAAGAACCATGTGCTCACTTATTATTAGCCCTTCATCCTTGCAAATAAAATGCATGTTGACCTGGTTACCATAATATTTAAAATGGTTTCAACTCCTAAATTTTGCTTTGCCAACTCCTCCCTCCTGTTTTCATTTGTGTCTGTGCAACAAGTTAATTTGCTCTTCTCCTTTAAGTCCCTTCTAAAAGCTCACTTCTTTTAGTTAGCCTTTCTTCTTCCAAACCACCACCATCAACATAATAAATTAGAGATATAATGCACTAGAAGTTATATCAAAATAATGGAGGAAAAAATCTATAACCAAGAGGCAGCATTTCTAGCCTAAATAATTCCTCCTCCTGCTCCTTCCTGTGTCTCTATATTGTTTAATTTAGGGACTAATCCTGCTTCTATGGAAGCCAAAGGTAGAACTCCCTCTAGCTGGGGGAGCAAGATCCAGCCCCTTGGTTGTAAAGGGCACAAACTTCACCGCAAGTTTATATCGGACTAACAACCTTTACAGAAAAGGCCTCTTAGGAAACATAGGAATTGCTATATTGGATCAGACCAGTACCTCATCTAATTCAGTAATCTCTCTTCAACGGTGTCCAATATGCTTCAGAGAATGTGCATAACCCCTACAACCACCATCTGGGATAACCAGCCTTGAAGGAAAGCTTCCTCCAAACCCCCAATACTAAGAGGGTGGCTAATGCCCTGAATCATGGGGACTTATATCTCTTCCACATCTCATTTATTTTTTCATATTTGCTCTTATAACTCTGGGTTACACATATAAACATCCAGTGCCAAATAAAAACTTGTTAGGACAGACTAAGAGGGCCAGGTGTGAGGAGGTCTGTATCCTAAGTTGTCTGATGAGGTGTGATGGGGCGCACTCGCCCAGCACTGAACGGGGAAGGGTTAACCGAGTCCCGAAACCAAACAGGTCCATCCAGTTTTGTATTGACTTTAGAAAGGTGAACGATATATCCTGATTTGATGCCTACCCGATACTGCGGGTCGACGAACTGCTCAAGAAGTTAGGGGGAGCCAAGTTCCTATTGACTTTGGATCTCACCAAGGGGTATTGGCAAGCCCCTCTGACCCTGAACTCATGCTCGAAGATGGCCTTCCCAACCCCCTTTGGCCTGTATCAATTTATAACCATGCCGTTTGGGGTACATGGGGTAGCAGCCACCTTCCAGCAACTCATGAATTGGATATTACAACCCCATGGGCAGTACACCACCGCTTATATCAATGACATTGTCATATATAGCACCATCTGGGAAGACCACCTTCAACACCTCTCTAAGGTGATACACATGCTCATGGAGGCTAGACTCACGAATCCAACAAAATGCCATCTTGGGCAGAACGAAGTAACTTACCTAGGTTATACTGTTGGGGGCAGAGAGCTGCGACCCTTTACAAGCATTGCAGGACTGGCCTGTGCCGACAACCAAGAGACAGGTGCAGCAATTCCTTGGCCTAGCCGGATAATGCCGGTGTTTTGTACTGGATTTTGTGAATTTGGCAGTCCCCCGGACTGACTTGATGAAGAAATCACAATCCCAGAGAGTTCAGTGGTCTAGGGAGTGTGAGGCAGCCCTGCTAAGAGGGGCAAACCTATTGACTCTGGCCACCGTTCTGCACTGCCCGGCTAACAGAGGCGGATGCAGTGAATTTGGTGCTTGCTGCCCTGCAGACCAGGGCAAATACATTGACTTTGGCCATTGGACCATACTGCCCTGGTAAGCGGGCCTAATACATTGACTTTGGCCATTAGGTCTTATTGCCCTGCTAGCAGAGGCGAGTATATTGACTCTGGCTACGGAGACATAGACGTAGGTTACATACACCTTGCCCCCGCATGCTAAGGGAAACGAGGTGCACTCTCCCTGCACTGGATGGGGTCTCCCTTACCCTGTCACACGTGGACAAAAAGTACTAAAGCTCCTTTTGGCCTGTAAACATGTTATGGAAAGGTGGTACAAACTGGATGTGTTTAAACTGTGAACAGGAAATTTCAAGGCTTCTAGTGAGGTCACAAATACTTTTAGTAACAAACCAAGACACCAGGATGAGAGGAAGCTGTTGTAAAGGGAACCACTGGATAGCTGTTTTGACTGGTTAGTTCTTATGGGATGGGCTTCAGGCTTTGTTTTTGGGGAATGCTTGTCAATCTGTTTTAAAAGGAAGGAGCGAGGGGCGGAAGGAGAAAGGTGTTACTACATATCAGCCAGCTTCAATATCATGTTTGTCACCAGCCCTGCCCTGCTGAGGTCCAGGAATTTCTCATCACAGCACTGGACCTCCACTTTCCTTTGCCCAAAGACCTGGCAAAGAGAGGGAACCAGATTACATCAGTGTCTCCATCAGAATCAGCTCAATTGTTAGCAACATCAGAGATGTGAAGTGAAGGCTCCTGCTATCATGCCTTCCCTAGGGTGTTAATTTCCTCCCCACCTTATCTTACCTCTCTAACATTCAGTGTTGGCCTTCTATGAGGGGTGGAAAAAAAAGGGTCAGGAAAGCACAAGTGCCTCTTCCTTGCACACAAGCCGGCTCCTCACCCCCCCTCCCCCGACCTCTCAACAGATCCAGTAGGGGGCAGAGGAGGGGAACAGAGATAGGGGAAGCAGAGTTTTGGGAAGGCCACGGATTAGAGTGGGGATACTGAGGGCATGTGGGGACTGTGGCTGAGGTGGATGAATGAACAGGGGCAATGAATCTGAGGCCTCAGGAACAGCTCGGCTCATCAGGAGGAGGAGAATGAACACACTGGGAGAGTATTGAGTATTTGCTGTGCTACCCTTATAAGATTTGTTCTAAGGCAGCTTGAATGATTAGCAAACGCTGATGCAATGGTATATGGACTCAAAACCAGGCTGGTTAACTCCATCCTCTTCCCCTGACCTAGATAACTAGGCCTGTGCTGTAGAGCTCACCGTACAACTTTTTCAAACTCCCACGGTATGTTAGGTCAATTATGGCTGAGTTCATTTCACTTACTTTTCTGCTGCAGGCAAGACATGACTGTAATCACTATTTTTGCTGCTTCTATCCCCTGGGGACTCCTTCAGGCCTAGTAAATAGGCCATTAGTATCACACATTTTTGTAGGAACAGTTAGGGGAGCATGATCAGAAATGTAAACATGTCCAAACGTGGACATGGGAGGGGGAGAATGACCAAAAAAAAAAAAAAGAAGAGTACAAAGATGGAAGGTTTGATGTTCAGAAATGCTTATATAAAACAAAAGAGGGAGAGAAGTATGAACTTCAGTCACTTGGGTGATATTTTGTCACGTACGATTTTAGACAGTACAACTGCAGGGTTTGAATGAACCATCTGCTTTTCTGACAGTTCATACTTAAAAGTAGATTATTTTTCAGAGAATAATCAATTTTCAGAACTAATCATGTATGATGTCCCCCTCCCTCCAAAATAAAAGATCCTATTTTCATGGACGGTTTGAAGAACTGTTAATAATTAAGATATTGCTTGCAGGGTTGTTGTAGCTGTGTTGGTCTCAGGATGTGAGAGAGACAAAGTAGGTGAGGTCATAGCTTTTATTGGACCAGTTTCCATTGGTGGAAGGGACAAGCTTTCGAGCTTCACAGAGTTGAAGAATTGCTCTGTGAATCTCACAAGCTTGTCTCTTCCAGCAACTGAAGTTGGTCCAATAAAAGGTATTACCTCACCTACCTTGTCTCTCTCAATAGTTAATATATACAGATATTGCCTCTGTTTTAAGGGTGGTTTCAGAATATAGTTGTTAAACTATGAAATTACACCATGGAACAAGCTAGAATTAGTGAAGCCTACCTTCCTCCGATGGGATGGCACAATAAAAAATGTTTCAATATTATGCTTCTTCAAGAAACTGTTCCTTTCATGGCCATACCCTGGTTCTACCTCATAGTCACCATTTAGGCATTCTAAGGTGGTCTTTGTTATGTGAACTTTCCTAGAGAGAAAGACAGGAAAAAAGAATTTAATGCAATGATACATCATGAGCCAGGACCTATTCATTGGGGTGAAATCCACCCCTGTGCAGAGGGCCAACACAAAGGTGAATTACATGCACAAACAGTAGGTGACTTTGTTGTATGGCAGCTAAATTCTCGCAACCAACCAGAATGCAGAGGTGTTTTCAGCATATAAACTTCCTAAATTTAGCAGATGCTTTGAACAAATGTAAATATCTACAGAGTACCACCTCAAATTGCAGTCTTGTTGATTTTACAAAGTATGCAGGCATACATGTTATATTTCAAGTACTCTATCTTTCTAAGTATTTATTAAAGCGCTTGCTGGAGATACTGGCCCTCTGTTTGATGCGTGCCACCCCACTCTTTAAATCTTTCTAGTGGCGGTTCTTTTTCTGCTATATAAAGATCAGGCTTTTGTTTTCACTTTCCCGTCCATTTACAACTCTGAGGGCTTGTCTGCACAAGTGTAATCGGTAAACTGAACCTCAATTAACTTTCAAAGTGGATTAGTTAAACCACATTAAGACTCTGGGTGGACACTCTAAATCAGCATTAAAGTGCCCTTAATTCAGTTTAGTTTAATTCACTTTGGAAGTGAAATAACCTACACTGAATTACAGTCACTTTAATTTTGAATAAGAGGGTCAACACAGGGGTTTAATGAAGTTTAATCCACTTTACATATACACAGTTGATTAATTTGGATTAATTTTCCTTAGTGTCCCCATGTAGACAAACCCTGACAGTCTTAATTTAGCCAACCTATTTTATTAGCTGCCCCCACCCATTCTGTTCTCCCAACAATGCCAGCTAGGTTTCTCCCCTATTTTTCCTATAACTCTCTTTACACTTTCTTCTATGCCACCCTTTACACATGGAACATTTTCATAGAAATTAACTGTAAAGGTATTACTTCTCTTAAATATCTTTTCAAATTCTCTTTACTGTGATGCCTTAAGATAAGCATTAATATATATATATATATAGTTAATATATATAATTATATATAGTTTCCAAAGCAAACTAAACTAAACTACCAAAATCATCTAAAGTAAACTAATGTCACCCATGTAGGAAATTTCCCATATTAACCACAAGGATTTGCAGGCCCCACCTCTCCCTGTTCAGCAGAACACAAATTGTTTTGTAAATATCCAACAAATCTCCAGTTGATACAGGGGATCCCGTTCTAACACGTTTGCATGCACTTAACTTGTACTCAAGAATGCTCAATGTGTTCTTGAAATTTCAGTACCTGCTTGTGCCCATATCCAATTAAATTATTAGTTATCCAAGAGCACATGCAAATACATGATTTGCACACATATGCTGAGTATTTGGATACAGATATTAGGCACAAACTAATGTTTGCATGTTGGGCATGACTAACTTTGAAAATCTGACTTTTTAATGGTAATCCTAAACCACATATTTGGAGGCAGAAATGGGCAAATCCTCCCCTCCATTACACTGAGGTAACTCCATTTTACTGAGAGGAGTATTTAGCTCTTTCTTGACTGAAATTTTATCATTGCCTCATTCCTACCCTTCATATTTGGCAGTTTCTAGTGAAAAGCTTATTAAAAGGACATTTACATTTTAACAGAATTTTGTTCACATTTACTTCTCTTAATGATTACTAACAGAGATCTGCAGGTCACTCAATCCTAGTGTTCCTTAGGAGATGTTTGAACAGCAGGTAATACAGCCTATGAGAGTTCTTAACCTGAAACACCCTTCTGTATCAATTATTATAGTAATTGGCTTTGCAAAATACTTTCAGTTAAAGAGAGAAATAATTGATGCTCTCATTGAGGGCTGTACTTTTTTCTCTCTGAGACTTACCCAGGCAATCCTCCAGTTTCCATTACATTTGCTAGAGTCACGTCATTTGACCAGACATCATATTGCCATTTGCGGAGACCTAGGACCCCACAAAGCACCCTGCCTGTGTGTAGTCCAACTCTCATGTTGAGATCCACTTCAGTGGCTTCTGCTACAGACCTGCAATAGAGGGTATCAGATCTTCAGAGAAGAACATTCCTTTCCGTCACCTTCCTGTCTCTTTCTCCCAAGACTCATAGTTGCTGCTCATATACACATTGCCAACTGCAGAGAAATGATCTTTAAAAATTTCAGACAGTTCAAACCCTGAATCATATCACTAATTAAATAGATTTGGGGATCTCGTCCCAGCCCCCAGTGAATCAAAATTGCAGTATCCCATGGTGGATTTTCACCTAGAATCTGGCTACTTCATGCTAGTTGCAAAATACAAACTCAAACAGCTCTGTGCTAGATGGGCAGTTACACGGATAACAGCACAGGGAAGAGAAATGATCCCAGCAGTAGAAAAGTTGCTGCACCACAATGGTCCCCAGCGGTGGATTTTCCATTGTCAAGGACCCCCCATGTCACAGTCTGTAGCACATACACTTGTAAAGCTGATTTATTCTCTCTTATTGCTCTCTTTGTTTTATTTCCTTTCACTTTCGCTCCTATAAAAAACTTCTCTTTCTGGTCTCTCGGTATAACGGCAAGTTTACCAAAGATCCAAACTATAATAATATATTGTTTTGTTCCTTACAAAGAGGGAGTGTTTTAATTCCTAACTTTCAGCATCAAATGAAGTTTTAATTTGACTTTCAGGTTTGAATGAATCCAAACACTCAAAGCAAAATTCAGTCAAACATCATGTTTCACCAAATTTCATTCAGAAAAAAATTCAGGGTTAAAGCAGATGTTATACATGACTTCAATTTATATTATCCTGGGGTCATTTGAAACTGGGTTAAAGTTCATTTGAAAAGTCTGCGCCTTTTAGCAAACCTTTTTGTGAATGTGGTCTGCGATTCAAGTTTTGCAAACTGTCCTATGTAGTTCTAGTTGCCTTCTTCTCAATATTTGCTATTAAATTCCTTGTGAAGCTTAGATCTCCCATCAAGATAAACAAAATACACTCTACTTGTAATTCAACTGATCCAGTGACAGCTGAACTACAGCACTTGCTTGTTTATCTTTTGTCTCCACTTATTTATCCACAGTTTTTTCTGTCATAAATTTTCCTGTTTCCTAATGCATATTTACTTTAGGCAGCTATGACAGCTGACAGCAAAGTGATGGTGGAATCAAAAGAAAATAGTTGAAACTATCTTAAGTGTAATTTTAACCTGACATGCATCCAAGCAAACATATTTAAATACAGTATTACAAGGGATTGCTTTCAATTGAATATTAAAATGAACAATATTACTTTTAGAGTTCCTTCATTTCATAGAAAGCATATATTCTATTTATAAAGCCTGGTTTTGTGTTAGAGACTGAGGAATTTTGCCTGGTAATTCATCTCACACAAAGACCATGGGATTTATATGGGTAAAGGGATTTCACCATAAGCATTTATATAGGGCACTGAGGGGAAGGTTAGTCTTGTGGGTAGAGCACTAAACCGGGATTGAAGAGCTCTGGCATCAATTCCTAGCTCCACCCCAGACTTCCTGTGTGACCTTGGGCAAGTCACTTAATCTCTCTGTGTCTCAGTTCCCAGTCTGCCAAATGGAGATAACATTTCCAAGCCTTTGTCTGCAAATGGCACAGTGGTTGGCCTCGGTGTGACCGTAACACAGATTCATAGCAATGATAATAATGTGATACAGAGGAGATGGTGCTAACCCTCTCCACTAAGTTGAATTCCATCCACTGTTTTGTCTTTGTGCATCAGAGAAAGTCCTAAACAATAAACATCAATAAAAATGTTTATCTCCTCTGATTTATTTCCTTATTCTGTAGTAATGTATTTGCTTGACATTCTATCATTAGTTTTACTATCTGATGAACAATTCCACTTCATTTCATTGATTTGAAACTTACTGAGGTAAAAATAATTTTCTTCAAAGTGTCTCTGATTGTTTACTTCCCTCCTTACAATGATGCATATTTAATACATCAGTAGTCATTTTCTTGTATTAATTTGCTTACTGCTCTCAAGATTTCAGATTCAAAATCAGCAAGCGGGCAAGTTCTGCCCTTCCCCCCCAGCCCCAAATCACACAAACATGATATTCCAGTCCTGATCCCTGTGCACCTGCATGTAGTTGGGTTAGCTATTCATAAATACATAGGGCTAGATTTTGTCTAGTCCCCCCCGGAAAGTAAGGTCCCCCTGACAGCCACACACCGGCTTCTCTGATTGAGGCCCAGGGAGCAAGGCTGTGCACATGAGACTTTCCCCTCACCTTACCTCTGTGAGCAAATGGGCATGAGGAGATGCCACTGGGGAATTGCAGGGATGGGGCAAAGTCTTGATTCCACCCTCCATGCGTCAGGGAGCACAGATGGCCAGACATGAGGGTGGCGGTAAAGGGTGAAGTAAGGGTGAAGTAACATGATTGCTCAGCATAGGAAGGTAGCAGGAGAGGATTTGTGACTGAGCCCTAATATCTTTCCTCCTGTAGTAGCATAGCTATCCACTGCCCCATATGCAGGGCTGAGCCTGAAGGCTCAATCTAGCCTGAAGAGATTTACATTTTATACATGCAGGAACTGCAATTAGTTGTTAAAGTCAGTGTGAATGGTACTCCTCTCACTCGGGGCGACATTAAGAGGTTTTTTTATTTCTAACAATTGACAACAATCTATTGCACTGAAACTGCAGCTATCTCTGCAGTTAGGACTGAATTCTAAGATGGGGCATAAATTCCTGTCTCTCTCTAGAAGTAGGTAGCCAGCGGAGGTGAAATTTCACACAGGGTTAATTTTATGCTGTTTGAATTTTCCATGTAGGTTTTAATTTGAGTTCTCCTCATACATTTTGAATCAGAAGCTTTTGAATTTGGGCTATGGCTAAAATTTCCCAGCAGCAACTGTTCATTGTTGACTGATATCTCTTTGAAAACATTGTCTTTTTACACATAACTTGGCAGAGAGGCAGACCCTGAGGAAGACTGAGGCAAGAGGAAGTTTGTTTTTGAAAAATGCTGAATCTAGGATAATTGTTAGCACTTATTCACATTATAGTAAAAAAGTTTATGCGCTGAGCACACAAACCTGATGGGGGCCAGGAATACAGAAGTCTGAGTGGCAGATGGCGGTGGTGCCAAGTGTACATAAGTTTGACTGATTGGGGGTTGGAGGACAGCCAGTTCATAAAAGCTTCTCTGAAGGAGCAACATTCTTCTATAAGATTTTTTCCTACAGCAGGGAAGGGCTAACATGCAACTGCCAAGGGATGAAATACTCTCTTTTTGCACTTCTACCCCCCCATAGGTCCACCCCCATCCAATACCCAACCCAGTTAAGTAACACCCTACAAAATTAATACACAAAAAATTGTTGTGAAGCAGTTAGGATGCAACACACACAAGCTACCTGACACTAACCCACAAAATCAAGGAAACGGAAAATTAACCCACCTAACAGTACATACCCTTTACCCCCACCCACCTTACTATTACCACATCAAGAATACACCACAGACCATGCACTATGACCTTAACTCTGCCCCTACAGGGATACCAGCCTTCCATCACCTCCTTTAACCACCCATCTGTGCACAGCCTTTACCAAACTAGCTTTTTGCAATACAATAATCTACTATGCCAAACTTCCACAACTGTTAGGGCAGGGGGAAAAGTAAAGTGTGCATGCAAAATGGCAAAAAAAGGGCAAAGCTAAGACTGCCGTGCATGGTCTGTGGTATGTGGTAGGAGTGGTAATTGTAAAACATGTGCTTGTGAGTGGAAGAATGGAGAGTATATACTAATAGGTGGGTTAATTTTTCATTTCTTTGTTTTCACGGGCTTGTGTCAAGCACTTTGCGTGTGTTGCGTTCACAATGGAAGTCGTGTATTAATATTTATTGTATTTATGTCAAATTCTGTGAACTATACTCTTCTTCCTGGTAAGTGGCACTTCCCTATTAACATCAATGTTGCCTGTTTTGAAAAATAATTTTTAACATTTGTTCCTATGTTACACTGTCAGGGCAGGTTTACAATAGTTAAAGTTGAAAAATCCTTTCCGTTCTAACCCCCTAATTCTAAACGGTCATTTCTTTCTCAAAACTATACCATTTGGGTTATAATTTCTTAAGTCAGGCCTTAGCCCAGAGATGGATTTTCACTGGAAATTTGAAGATAATCAGTTTAAGATATTTCTGAATTAGGTAAGAGTTAAAAAGAGAAACACGCTTTTTTAATTAAAAAAAAAAACAAACAAAAAAAACCCCAGGGAGAGAGGTAACTGTGAATGTTTGCACATTCTTGCTTTGCCTAAATATCTGAAAAATAATTCAGCTCTTGCTCTTACGTTATAAGTGTCGTCTTAGGGCATAGCTCTTATGGTGCAGTGTTTTTATTTAAAAAAAAAGGCCTTCCATTTTTGTGCTTAATTAATTCAAACTGATCATTTTGAACATTCAAACTAAGGTCACAATACTGCACGCATGTATGCATGTGCTTCCCTTTACTCCTATGACCAGTCCCACTAATGCCAGCAAGACGATTCACATGGGTAAATATAAGTACATTCCTGAGTGTTTCAAGACTAGGGCCTTACTAGCCTTTATATAGTCTATCACATAACACATTAGCTGTGTATTATCTGGAGTCATGTCCCTGCAAGTACATGTGCATGTGCATAATTTATTATTTTGTATTCACAAAATACTAAAAACCCTTTCATATTCCAAAAAACTATGTTGAAACTCACATTAAATGTAAAGAGAAGGGGAAGGAAATATCCCCAAACAGGGAAAAGAGGCACAATCCATCAAGACCTTGAAAATAAATCTGTTCTTTCCTCTGTTCTAAATGCCCTCAAAGGAAACCAAAAACTCAACTTTTAAGGAAATATGCTTTTCAAAACGGGAAAATTGTAACAGAATTTGTTTGAAAAGTTCTAGTTAGAGATCGCAAAAGATAGAGTAAAACTACATTACTGAGTACTACATAAAGAAAAGGAGTACTTGTGGCACCTTAGAGACTAACCAATTTATTTGAGCATAA